ATTAGATGCATATGCATAGGACTAAGAGTCAGATAGAAATATGGAGATTAATCTGCAACTTAAACACAAATATGCAAGAGATACCACTCAGAGTAGAGTTAGGTAGCATGCTAACATGATTCAGAAAATAAACCCAGAGATTTCAAATTGGAATCTATAGCATTAAAAAAATTCTGAACTGTTGTGGTCTGAGTTCTTTGCCACAGGAGAATTGCCCTATTAGTTTTCTGTAGTCAAAGCGAAGTGAAAGCTAAGAGATGACATTTTCCAAGGAGACCCCTGTCTAAAAAAAGTTAAGAACCACTGAGCTAGGCACATGAGAACATTCCTAGCTAACTGAAGAGGCACTGCAGGAATCCTGGTTTGTTACTAAAATCATTTTCTTGCCATTTCAGCCTGAATTGCATTCTTTTTCACCAACATGGTAGGAGTCAGGTGCCTTTGTAGATACCTTGGTAGGTGCCTTGGTACACTGTGATGTATGGCATTTTAAAATAATTAAACTGGGAGTTTAAATGTAGTCTTAACAAACCAGTACAGGCCATAATATCTAAGATCTCAGTCTTAGAGGAGCCACAACAACAAATGTTAAACAACATCTTTTTGTATTTCAGATTGGAATAGGTGGACAGATTAGTGGTAGGTCTTGCAAAATACTACTCAGCATACATGGATTAGATTTCCATTACCTAACTCCAAACAGCAGCCAGATATTAAACAGAAATCATGAAATAATTGGATTGCAACTCAGTCTCGGTCTCTGAAGGGATGGAAATATTCTTGGATGTGTCTTTTGTTTTGATACATTTATCCCAGTTACAAATGGCAGGTCAGATCTGAAGTATTATTTTTCCAATGTCATGAGTCCCTGACTTGTTCTAGCAGTGTCTATGACAATCATTTTGACAGTTAAGCAACTTTCTTTTATTCTTACAGAATCATTCTTGAAAGTGTTCAAGTGTCTAGCAGAGACAGTGTTTATATTGTGCAGAAAAAGTTCTGACAAAGGATTTGGGTAATTTTAGAAAGACAGTGTAAACTATAACGTTTACAAAGTTACAAAGTACTTACTACTTCAAGTTTTTACTTTAGAACTGCAAAGATTCTGAGAAAGACGTCAGTAGATTAATTCCACTAAAAATCAAGGGCCAGATTCTGCAACTCGTACTTTGAATAGTACCTTTACTCTAGAACATCATTCTTTACAGGTGGGCCACTTGAGGAATGAAGGGCTGTTCAGTGGGAGTAGGAATATCTAGATCAAACCCTTAAATCAAGCCAGTTGGTCAAGCCAATAAAAGATGAGCTTTTTTCTCACATTTTCATTAATAAAGAGCTGAAAGGGAGAGAGAGGCTATTTATAATACTGTGGTGCTGCATACTACATGACTGCTAAAGTTGAGAGACAGATGAGGGTTTCCATGGCCTTTCTTCAGTTTGGGAATTTCCAGAGTGCTGTAGAATTTGACTTTCAGCCATGAAAATAACATAAGAAGGCATTCTTTTAAAGAGCTCCCACTTACATCTCTTGTATATTTCCCTGTTCCTGGAAGATTTCTCACAGTTCTTCAATGAGATGCAAGATGTTTATACTCAACTGTAGAAAATTTGAAGGTCATCAGTTGGCAGCCAATTTTTATTTTTAAAGACATGTTCATCTCAGTTTTTTTTCATAGATTAGAGTTGTGACATGAGTAGAAACAAAACATAGAATTGTTATTTTTAAGGGGGGGAAATGTTCCATATCTTTGGCAGCAGAAAGTACACAGTGCTCCTGACTCCCTGTGACATTACTGACAGAACTTCTATTCATGTTATTTGGACTAAGATCAGGTCTTATGTATGCTATATAAGCATCTTAGTGACTAGAATTCAGAGCCCTGAAGACAAGCATCTAGCACATAAGATAGAAGAGGGCTCTGATAAATCCCCATTCCTGCAGGCATTGAGCCCTGCACTTATATCTATACTATGGAGGTTGCTGCTGCTTTACCTGTAGTGGGGCTCCTCCCCACCCGCCCCAGGATGGCTGGCAGAAGGATTATTTTATGTATGTCTATACCAGTAGTCCCTATTTTATATATGTCTATATCATAGCCCCTGAACGACAGAAGCCACCTTTTGCCAACAGGGTTGTGTCAGCACCAGGGGGTTTTCCAGCAGAGCTTTGTTATTACTGGGCACCCACACCTTGGATACCATAACTATGCAGGCAGAACTTTATAAGGGAGATGAGAACTCACTAAATTCAAACAACTAACCTGTCCTTGAACAGCCCATTTAATAGAGCGCAATGCAACAAACATACAACTTCTCACAGCAGGTATATACCTTTTCTGAGTAAGGATATGCCTTCAGTGGCGAATGAGCTCAGGAACTCTATAGTTAACTTACTCCTTTAGACTTAGTTTAACCTGACTGAGAGTGATCACACTGCAATTCTATGTCAACCATTGTGTTGACATTGGCAACACATTCACTCAAACATGTTATATTAAGATATCTGACAGTATGTTCCTGGCTCTTTTATTGAAATAAGCTGAGCTGTTACATTACTTCTTTCCCAGTGAATTGTGAGGACAATTTCTGGTCGCACAGAAGACTGTATTGAGACTAAAGGGAAAAGTTCTGTCCTGAATAAAGAATTTAATGAATACCATTCACATATACACTATATGCCAATTAAGTGCCCACCTTTTTTTAAAAAAATCATAGTCAGTTACTAAGGGAACATACAATTAATCAGAATGTTTACTGAGAGATGAACAAACCTTAGAAAGGTTTGGAGATCACTTGTTTATCAGATAAATATGTGAATATTCTGGTACTTAGGATCATAGGAAAGTAGGGATGAAAAGGACCTCACAAGATCATCTAGTCAAGCCCCCTGCTCAAGGCAGAATCACCCCTGACTAAACCACCTCTGTCAAGTATCTATCTAATCTGCTCTTGAAAATTTCCAGGAATGGAGATCCCGTAGCTTCTCTATGTAGCCTGTGCCAATGCTCAACCATCCTCACAGTTAGAAAGTTTTTCCTAATCTCTAACCTAAATTTCCTCTCCTGAAATTTGAGGTTATTGCTCCTAGTCCTGTCCCTTACAGCCACAGAGAAAAGAATAATCTTCATCTTCTTTATAGTAATCCTTCAGCGTTCAATGTCTTCATCAATGACCTGGAAGATGACATGGAGTGCACGCTCAGCAAGTTTGCAGATGACACCAAGCTGGGGGGAGTAGTACATATGCTGGAGGGCAGGGCTAAGATTCAGAGTGACCTAAACAAATTGGATGATTGGGGTAAAAGAAATCTCATGAGGTTCAATGAGGACAAGTGCAAAGTCCTGCACTTAGGATGAAACAATCCCATGCACCAGTACAGGCTGGGGACTGACTGGCTGGGCAGCAGCTCTGCAGTAAAGGACCTGGGGGTTACCATGGACCATAAGCTGAATACGAGTCAGCAGTGTGTCCTTGTTGCCAAGAAGGCTAACAGCATTTTGGGCTGCACTGGTAGGTGTGTTGCCAGCAGGTCAAGGAAAATGATTATTCCCCTCTATTCAACACTGGTGAGGCCACATCTGGAGTGGTGAGCCACATCTGGACAAACTGGAGAGTCCAGCGGAAGGCAACAAAATGGAGAATGGGCTGGGGAACATGACTTATGAGGAAAGACTGAGGGAACTGGGCTTATTTAGTCTAGAGAAGAGAAGACTGAGAAGGGCTTTAATTGCAGCCTTCAACTACCTGAAAGGGCATTCAGAAAAGGATGGAGCTAGATTGTTCTCAGTGGTGGCAGTTGACAGAACAAGAAACAATGTTCTCAGTTTAGGTAAGATATTTGGAAGAATTTTCTCACTGGGAGGGTAGTGAAACACTTGAACAAGTTACCCAGAGAGGTGGTAGAAGCTCCATCCTTGGATGTTTTCAATACCTGGCTAGACAAAGCTTTGGCTGGGATGATCCTAGTAGGGGATGGTCCTGCTTTGAGCAGGGGGTTGGACTAGATGACCTCCTGAGGTCCCTCCCAACTCTAACTTTCTCTGATTCAGATATTGGAAGACTATTCAAATACCCCCTCAGTATTCTCTTCCCCAGACTAAACACTCCTAGCTTTTCCAGTCTTTCCTAATAAGTTTAATCTCCCAGGCCCTGAATAATTTTTGTTGCTCTCCAATAGGCTCTTTCCAATCCGTCCACATATTTCTTAAAGTGTGGGGACCCAAACTGGACACAGCACTTCAGGTGAGGCCTTACGAGCACCAAAGAATGGAGGAATCAAATCACTTCTACTAATATCTATTTGAGAGGGAGATGATGGGAATCTTATCTTAACCAGCTAGCTATGAATAGTCCTTTTTTATTTTTTTTTTTTATAGACATTCAAGATGGAAAAGGTCTGTTTATCCCCCCTGAAAATGAAAGAACATCTTTTCCCAATAGCACTTTTTTCACCAGTCTACATTTGTAAGTAAGGGTGCTTCTTCTGCTTTCTTGGGAAGATTATTTCACCATGCAGTGCATTGTCAGGAAGTTTTTTCAATTGTTCAAACCAAATTACTACGAATGACTGGGTCAAGTGTCACATTTTGTAGCTTCCTCCAACTGAATACAGCACATTGCAGGTTTTTAAAAACAGCATCACCAATAAGGGAGGATTAAATACCCTGAATGTTAAAACAAATTCCAATTTGGCTTTTAATCGTTTCTTTTTCTTTAGTTTAAAATAACTTTTTTATAATGTAATTATATTGTTCCTGGAGAAACTCATGGCAGAATTGGATTACAGGCTGTTTTGCTCTGTTTCCAGCCTGTAAGAGACTCTATTAATTGGCTAGAATGCTTGCAAAGCATGCACCCTCTAATTCAATTATAAGTAACTTCAGGAATCACATGATCCCATATTCCAAAGTGTGGAAACCATTTTTTTAAATAAGCCTTGGGGGGTTTACGTTAAACACAGAACAATTGAAAAACTTTGTGGCTCAGCAGTTGTTAGTACATCTGCCAACAGAAGCTGACTTAATATAAAACATTTCCACTGAAACTTCATTGAGATTATGGAACATTTATTTCTTAAAGGTTGCCAACAGGCCAACTATCTTCAGTGGGTTAGAGTGCTGCACAGATACACCAAAGGTCATGAAAATGATTTGTGTTCATACCAAACCTAGTGTCCTGACATCTGTTTCTCAATCAGGAGATCCAACTCAAACCACACATGATTTTAATGAAGTAGCTAAACAGAGTTTATTTCCATCTCTATAAATGAAGCAGTGTGAATTGAAATCCCCTTTGGAGTGAAAGCTGAGTGACAACATCACCCAGCAGTAAGTGAAAAGGACAAATTTAAACGTGGAAAGCAAGACTCTTAAGAGTACCAATTAAATTTTAACATCCATTGCAAAACAAACCAGCCATGTAGCAGCTAAGCCCTAGATCATGTACACATTAGAAATGAAACAATCATTGTATTTTCGATTCACTGTGTGGATATCTCTGGGATGTTGGAGGTGGGAAGGGAGGACAATCTTATCTGGCAGACTATGCCACAAACACTGCCAGCCAAGTAACAGTCATAATACATGCACAGTAGGGGTGTGTAAAGCGGGCCCTGTTTGATTCAGATTCAGCCTGAATCAGGGACATCAGTTCAATTAGTTAATTCAGGTCACTGTCCCCAATTTGATTTGGCCAAACCTGAGTCTGAAGATTCAACGCTGATTAGGAGGATCAGCAATTCGGACACAGACACAGCTTTAAAAGTTTTTTCTACATACCTCAAGGTACCAGCATGGCTTGTGAACACTGCAATGCTGGGGTGGATAGAGTGTCCCACAGGAGTGTTGGGGGGCCCTTCACGTGTTTGGCGGTGAACCCAGCAGTGGACCGGAAATATTTCCGGTCCACTTCTAGGTCTGCCAGGGAGTGCACAGGAGGGGCCCCCTGCGCCCCCCCCCCC